GAATGATCCTGCGCGCTCATAAGCGGAGCGTACGTGGAAACTTCGTTCGGCGCATCGCGATAATTAATATCCGCTGCCGTGGTCGGGATGAAATCGTCCCGGCAAGATCGCTTCGGATCACTAAAGCGACAGATGTAATAACCGCGAGAGAGAATAGCGGCGAACGCGCGAAACATTCCGATTTATTTATCCCCGCCGTGAAAAGTCCCCTCACAGGCGGGCGTGACACCGCGAAAGTCGCCGTTCGCGAAATCATTCCGCAGCGATCACGCAAAGAAACATTTACCCGCGACGGGGGTGACGGCTAACGCGAAATCGATACTCGCGGAGACTCGCGAGAAAGAGAGAGAGAGAGAGAGAGAGAGAGAGAGAGAGAGAGAGAGAGAGAGAGAGAGAGGGAGAACGAGCGCGAGCGTGATATATCGCGTGTTTCAGGCACGCCGAAATGTGTCCTCATGCCGCGACGGTGGCGGCCATTAAGCTATCCGTGTTATCGTGCGCCTCTCGTATGCAAACCTCTATGCAGTCTATGCGCTATGCAATCGTGGGCTGCGAAGGGAGGAGCGGCGGGAAGGTGGCCGAATAGACGAGCGACGGCGGCTTGCGTAAAATCGAGCGGGATGAAGCCGGCGGCGCGCTTAGGAGGGCGAGGAATAGAACGGCAGAGAGAGAGAGAGAGTGAGGGGGGGAGTGATGCGGGGGTGGCACTAATGAGACTCATCCTTGCGCCCGGAATATATGCAACACTTTATGCGCCGATGAGAGGATACAAACAACGAGTTTTCTTTCCAGAAGCGTCTCGCTCTCTTGCATGTCGACTGACTATCCCGTTAGCGTTATCCTTTGACGACATTCTCTCTCTCTCTCTCTCTTTCTCTCTCTCTCTCTCTCTCGGAACGTCGCATTGTCTCTTTGGTGAATTTGCATCCTCGCTATCGCGAAGTGCTTCTTCGTCGTCGCGACTCGGCAAGCATCTTCTGCGAGCGTCTCCTTCGCGGGCATCGATGTCGAGAGAAAGAAAGACGCGTGGGCGTTGTAGCTGGAAGATTCCAGACCACGCATTTCGAATACGGCGCGTTGGAATGAAGGTCGAGTACTTGGAATTAAATTAATCGTTTAAAATCGCGCTGGCGCTCGTCATATTGCACGCTATTAAGGGATTAAACGGACGCTCGGGGGTTGAGCGGTTGCTGGCAGTTAACGTTCGCAGGCCGAGTGCCTCATTCGAGATGACTTCCCGTGGCTACCCCTCGAGTCGCCCTCGGCGAATTTCTTTCTCCGACGAAATTCCAGACCGTCGTCGTCGTCGTCGCCGTCGCCGCCGGCTAGCGGCCGACGTCGTTTCGTGCGTCCGTCGCGATGAAACGACGGGGCGGAAGATCCGATGAGTCAGACGGAATCGCATGAAAAGGGAAAAGGTCGTCGGGAGATTACGCATCCTTCCAACGGGTCAATCGATAGGATTTTGCCCGGTTTTACGACGCTTTATACGTGCACCATCGTCTCGGAGCCAGAATGATCCTTGGCCCTTTCGCCTTCCCTCCCCTCCTCTCTCCCCCCACTCTCTCTCCCTCCTCCCTCCCCCTCCCTCTCGTGCCCTCTCCCCTTAACTGTCCCAATCTTTCTTTTTCTCCCTTCTCTCCCCTCTCCCCCTCTCTCTCCCTTCTCCCCCCCTCTCTCTCTCTCCTGCTCCGCTAGAATATCACCCGCCATTCTCTCTTCTCGCTAATTAGATTCTCTTTAGATCCTATTTAGCGCCTACGTATACGTGAGCAAGAGGAAGGACCTCTGCAAAAAGGGTCGATTTTTTGCCCGTTTTTCGGTCCTCGATTTTGGAATCGAATTTTATACCAAAAGATAGTTCATGATGAGACATTAATTATAGAAAAGTTTTACGTTGAGCATACGATTAGTTTCAAAGATGTAGAGGGTCAAAGTGGTCACTACCTACTAAGAAAGTATGACACTAATAACGCTTTATCGCACGAATTTTTGCAAAATTCATTATCTACAGCTTCTTTGAGTTACTAATTATGAATCTGATGTCAGATTTTAAAAATTCAAGATGGCAGGTGCAACATGGCGGACACATATAGTGAAACAATCATTTACTTTTATTGGAACTGTTACGTTGTGGTTTTTTTGGCTAACTGATTGCAAATTTTTTATTAGGTTTTTGAAAGTAATGTTTTCAACGACAATTTTTGAGTGGAAGAAGTATTTTTTTATTGTTTTTTCATAAAAAATATCAAATTCAAATTGATACGTTACATGACGCATAAAGGATAAACATAAAAGATGACGTGATAGTTTTATTTGTTATATTTAGAAGCTTATTTTGCCTTCAATGGCTGGATAATCTTTTCATCTTGCCTTCACTGGCTGGATAATTTTTTCATCTTGCCTTCACTGGCTGGATAACATTTTTATCTTGCCTTCATTGGCTGGACAACTTTTTCATCTTGCCTACACTGAAGGTGAATGTAAATCTGATAGAAAATTCGCAATTAGCTAGCTGAAAAAGCCACATCAAAACAGTCCTAATAAAAGTAAATAATTGTTTCACTATTTGTGTCCGCTATATTACACCCGCCATCTTGAATTTTTTTAATCTGACATCGAAGTCGTAATAAGCAACTCAAAGAACCTATAGATACTGAATTTCGCAAAAATTTGTGCGATGAAACGTTATTAGTGTCAAACTTCCTTAGTAGGTAGTGACCACTTTGACCCTCTATATCTCTGAAACCAATCGTATGCTCAATGTAAAACTTTTTTGTGATTAATGTCTTATCATGAGCTATCATTTCGCATAAAATTTAATTTAAAAGTCGGGGATTGAAAAACGGGCACTTTTGGCGGAGGTTCTTTTCCGCAGAGATGATCTTAACGCCGCTTAAAGCTAACTCGCGGGAAACTCAACAACGCCGTACGCGAGAATCCTTCGTTTTGAAACGATTTTCCGTTATTGCCCCCCCCCTTGCGCGCGCCAAAACTCGTTTTTTTGCTGTTTTCTCACGATGTAATCAGTCGGAAGAATATTTTCTGAAGAAAATTTCATCAACTCCGTCTTTGTTTCGGTGTGTTTTCCTCGGAAATTCCCCGGAACGCTCACGAGCGGACTCGTCTGACCAAGCGCGGTTTGTACCACTTGCGGCGCGAACCACTCGTTCTGACCGCAATTACGGATATACTACTTAAGCAGAGTAGCGCCCGGCCGTAACGTGTGTTGACCTCGGTTACTTAAATTGGCTACTTTCATTTGCAATGCGATCGAACGCTTCTTTTCTCGTTATTCTCTTAATAGAATCGTGATCCTTGCTAAGGGCGCGTGTTGCTGCTGGCAGCTCGACGGAACAGTCCAACGTATTCTCGGAGTTCCAATTTTTTTTTACATTTTCTCCGTTAGATGTTATACATAATTATTAGATTATAATAATAATTATTACAATCTAATAATTATATACATATACGATTATACACAATAATTATAGAGAAGAAGGTGGCCTTCCATTCATATTCTATTCCATTTTGTACGATAACTCTATCAGTAATCAATATTTTAAATCGAGAACTGAACGATTACATTTGTCAAAGTGTCGTTTAGTCGTTGTTTAGTCGATTATAGAATCAAATTTACGTAATGTTTATTATTTGGGATGTTGTTTATAAAACTATGACAACACAGCATAATGGATTGGCGAGTGGTAATGGAATGGGGTGGTAATGTGGCCTCCCACTAAAATTGATACAAAAAAATGATTTTATTCAAAATAATATAAAGTGTTTAGTTAGGCAATTATACAGGGTGTATAAAAAGTACTCTCTGACGACGAAATATCTCGAAAACTAAGCATTTTAGAAAAAAATGTTTCAGACAAAAGTTGTATGGTTTTAAGGGAGACACAAAACAAGCATATCATTTTGCTTACAGATGGCGTCACTTTCGAGATATTCACTGATCATTGCTTTTTTAACATGGAAACCACAATTTTTTATTATATCGTCTTTTTCTACTGATTAATTTTAACAAATTTTGTCTGAAATATTTTTTTCTAAAATGCTTAGTTTTCGAGATATTTCGCCGTCCTGATACTTTTTATACCCTGAATATTTATTCAGATTTAATTCTTAGAAGGGGAATAATAATGAATATAACTGCGCGAATTTTTAATGTGGATATTGACTTACTCGTTAGGAAATACAATCCGCTAGAAAGAACATAAGTGCAACAGTGGACTATAAATTAGAATGGACTTATCGAATAATTATTTTGGTATATAAACCTCGACAAAAAGAGACAGTACTTGTCAGCTTTGTATAACTTGAAAGATGTACAGCCGAATAAAATGTCAAGTAGCAAACAAAATACTCAATTGTACATATATTCGTGTGATGATCCGCTCAAGTTTAAAAATAATGAGGAAACATCGTCCAATTAAATGCTAGAGTGTACCTCGAGAAACATTTTGGAATGTTCAAGAGTAAAAATGCGTTATAAAAAATGCCAGCCATTGTACGTTGATATATTAGCGTCATTGCGCTAACGGTGGCAACAATTCTAAACAAATGATTCCACAAGTGATGATTCCACAATAACTGGAATTCGTTAGCTAATAACGGATATGTCGAGAGCGGCCGTAATACTTACAAGGGCCACAATACCAAAAAATTTCTCCTCTGTAGTAGAAATAATAATTATATATTGTTTATATATTTAAAGGTAGTAGAGCACATTCGTATATCATAAAAAAAATCATGAAAACACTTTAAATATTAAAAGTCATCTTACATCGACTTACTGCGGCGAAATGTTAAAAATTGGACCTGTACGTCGCTTGCGAAATACGATAAATCACACGGCTGATAAGCGCGCGAAAGGCCGCGACGGCGTGGCGCGGCGCGGCGCGGCGGTAGCGTATCCTTTCGCGAGATACGTATAAATCCTGCAAAGTTGAAAATCAACCGCTGACTCTGACGTATGGTTTTTTTCACCACAGGTGGAGGAGATCCGCGAGATGATAGATAGGATCCAGACGAATGTGGAAGATGTGAAGAAAAAGCACAGCGCCATTCTCTCCGCGCCGCAGACCGACGAGAGTGAGTCTAATTTATCACCTTATATTACTTATATTACTTTTCACACGCGAGCGTGCACACATTCTCGCGCGCGGATAGCAACGAGCTCGCTCACGTGCCGCGGTAGAAAAAGCCGGTGATGAAACGCTTATTTTCGGAATATTCGCTCGCTCGCGCGAGCGGCGGCCAGTTCGGGGGATGAAATTAAATGATAACCAGCTTGTTCAAATATTAGCACGTCGCGTGTGCCAACACCGATGCATCTGTTTGCCTCGCGTGTTTATTTATCGAAGGTTCAAATTGCCATAGCTTCGGTGTGAGTTGAAATCTCGATAATGTGGTCGCGCGAAAATAATCTCGCTCTCGCGTTCCTGACAATGGAAACGCGATGTACGAGTAAACTCCGTCGTATTTACAGCATCGCGCGGGAGCCGAGCTCGTTGCTCTCGTACGGAGCAAGGATCTTCATTAGTCACGCGTTGTTAATTGTCTCGTTAACGTCAGCGTCCATCATTTCGGACATCGATCGGAAAGAAGGAAGACGCTAGAGGCAGCATTATTCGGCTCGATCTCGTCGGGCGCGAATCAACGGGCGCTTTGTTCCCGGTTAACCGCTAATCCTCCGCGGGCCCATCCTCTCTCTCCGGGGAGAGAGAGAGAGAGAGAGAGAGAGAGAGAGAGAGAGAGAGAGAGAGAGTCTTGCTCAGAGTCAAATTCAAATTTGCTCACTGTACATAATTCAGCAACTTTATCCGTCTTCCAGAGCTCGGTTTACCCGACATTGGCGCGTTTTCAAGCTGCTTTGGCCCGTTCGCCTTGCCAACATATATCCCGCTCATCCTCGAACGCTGGTTCTGAATATTTCATTCAGCCGCACGCGTGCGTTACCCGGAAAGGCGCGAAAGGCTCTTGAGGCCGAGTGCGCGCGAAGCGCCGAGTCGAAATCTGATATTCCGCGGCGCGCGACATTTTATTATTGGCGCATCGATGATTTTCTTTTTTTTTTTGGCAATGCGATTACCTCGAATCGGCGCTCCCGCTCAGTTGCGCGCGTGCGCAGCGAAGTCCAGGTTTTATCGAATTTTTCGCTTCGCCCCCCCTTCCCTTCCTTTCCCGGCGAAAAGGGAAAATTTCGAGTACGATCCGAAAAGAGTAGGAGAACAGAAAAGGATCGTTCACGGCTGTCGAAAATGTTTCGCGCTCGAGCGGTCGAGAGAGAGAGAGAGAGAGAGAGAGAGAGAGAGGGAGAGAGAGAGAGGGAGAGGAATCATCCAAAGGATGAAAGCTCCGTCGCGCGCGTGAAATCACGCCTCGCAAAAAGCCGCTCGAGGAAAAGCGGCGTGGGAAGCGAGTTTCGGCGCGACGCGATGAGATAATCGAGCTTCGATATTTCGCGCGCGCTGCCGAATTCAATAGCGGGGAATGCAATGCGGGGGATCGGTTAAATTTGAAAAGTGGTCGCCGGGCCAGCAACGTGCTGCAGCGGCGTTGCGCGGTTAGGGGGCGGCGGAAGGGTGAAGCGAGGGTGACTGGGTGGCGGCTGGGTGGCGCGAGGGTGAGCGGGGAGTCCGGTAGTAATCGTCCTTGTCCCGGTTGCCGTTGTAGCTACCAGGTCGGGTTAGGTTGTCATCCCTTACACCTTCATCCCTCGGCACGGCGAGCTCGCGTATGCGCGCACGCGCGTACGTGCGTGTGTCGGGACTCGGTTGCCACTTCCAACTCTTTGTTTATGAATCGAGCGCCAGCGCCTGTCGCGAATTAATCGTTAATGGCACTTCCGCGAAACGTCGCTTCTCGCATCGTTCCTCGGCGAGGCAAGCTGCAGGTTATCGCAGCCCTCGAGAGTTGGAGGGAGTAGCGAGAGAGAGAGAGAGAGAGAGAGAGAGAGAGAGAGAGAGAGAGAGAGAGAGAGAGAGAGAGAGAGAGAGAGAGAGAGAGAGAGAGAGAGAGAGAGAGAGAGAGAGAGAGAGATATGGGTGGATAAGGTAAGTCCGGGATAGATGGCCATAGGGGATAGATGGTCAATTGTTATAATTTTGTTAATATATGCTAGGCGTCAGCGCTGATCGGTCAGTTGTGAGTTGGATGTACCATGAGTAAGTGTGTTTTATCCTGATGCACAGAAACACTATTACTGTGAATAAATAAATGTTCTGTGTTTCTAATAACCTCCAAAATATTTCACACGTCGGAAAAATACTTCGCGAATACGGTTTATTTTGAGTTACAAAGTTAGACCTGGGCTTGAACGATTAAAAAACATCGTATTTTCATATTTAATTTCGACATTCGTTACCGAGACTACGTTTCACGCGATATACGCATTTTTACGCGACTCTCCAAACGGGAATAGATGGTCCATTTTTCAGTTAGATGGGCAGCCTACTTAGCGAGAAATAGCAAGCAATGGAAATCGGATCGACATTTTCTAGATACATATATATATATATGCCAGGAATTCTCCACAGATTTGTAAATCAGGAGGAGAATGTAGAAAACGTACAAATATTTTTTGCAATATTTGCCAGAAAAGTATATGCAACGAATGTTTTGAAAACTTCCATAACTCATTATAAGTTTTGAGATATATTTTGTCAAGAGTTCCAACATTCATCTGAATCATGGACATCTCGGCGACCTCAAAAACATATGAAATAAGTACCCACACACATAGTTCGCAATGAAGTATGATTCTCGTGGCACTCGGACGCCATATTGTATTCGCCATTTTGCAAAGTTGAAAACGGATCCAAGATTCGTGTTCAGCAACTTCAAAAACATAAGAAATGACTATTCACACATATAAATCGCAATAAAGTATGATTTTCGCCATATTTGGACGCCATATTGCATCCGTCATCTTAAAAATCAGTTGAAAAATAGAATCAATAATCATTGTTTATCCTTCAAGTAGTCAAACTCTGTCAATTCAATTGTCCCTGACAGCTCTGGACAAAATTTTTCCAAGTTCTCCACGGTGAAAAGCTCATGGTCGATGAAAAGAATGCTTGTCAACTTTGAGCCGCCATATTTAATTATCAGTTGATAATTCCAAAATTATGACTCCAGATTCTGATAGATCAGGTTTTTTTTCCTTTACGTGGGAAAGCATATTTTGTTATTAGTTTTCATGTGATCTTATCACTTTTCTGAGCCAAAAACCAATCGACTATAAAATGTCCGCTTGGGAAGTAATGGGTTAACGCGCCGCGACAAAGGGATTAAGCAATACTCGCTTCGAGAACATTGGCCGCTAATTCCTATCGGTAGCGCGCAACCTTGCGCGCCGCCGCCGGCGAATTCCGCGGCGCGCAAGCTTCAAGCCCGCTTTCAATCGCACTACGCGCGCTACGCTACGTTACGCTACGTTACGCTGCGCTACGTCACGCTACGCGCGCGATCTTACACACCCCGTGACCTCGTCGGAGCAGCAGCCAACGGCACCGCGTCGCGGCGTTATGCGTCGCGCGTCACTCTACTATTGCTTGAAACGGACGTCGGCTATTTCCATAGGCATCCCCTCGCGCTCCTCTGGCCGGCTGAGAAGTTTTGACGGCGACGTGGCTAAGCCCTAGATATGTCAAAGAGGTTTCCCCGTCGTCTCCCCATTCTATCGTACCGTGTGTACGTGCAAACGCTCACGTGTCTGGATTCTTATGTTCATCGCGGCGGCTGCAGCTCGCAAACGGCGGAAGGGAAGGCCGTTCCGTGCGCGGAGGAAAACGGTTTTATCGGGTTAACAAAAGACCAGTAACCGCAACGAGTGGTTTGTTAATGTGGGACAGCGAATGACTCCGTTGTGGTAACAAATAATTAAATAATTAACTTATGATTTCTTGCTCCAGCTAACAATTTTGTAACGGGAACAAATGGTATTGTTACGTTAGTCCGACGAATCATAAATTTTTGATCTGTACGGCGGTGCGGAATTTGAGTAAAGGTTAGAAATTGTGTATGAGCGAGTCAGTTGTACCTCTTCAACTCTTCTTCACCAACGTGTAATATACAGGGTGTCCCGTTTTAAAGTTTCCACTAAAATATCTCCTTAGGAAAGCATTTAAGCAAAAAATATTTCAGACAAAAGTTGCTTAGTTTGAAGGGGGACATAAGCGATATCATTTTGTTTACAGATGGCGCCATTTTCGAGATATTCACTGATCATCAATTTTCTTAAATGGAAATTTCAATTTTTTATTACATCATCTTTTTCTACCAATTAATTCGGACAACTTTTGTCTGAAAAATTTTTTTACGTGCCTAATATTTTTTGAGATATTTAAGGAAAACGTTTTTAATATTTAGCTTACGATATATCGCTAACTGTTTGTCGAAGGAAAAATGGGTGCTAGAAATTTTTACTCTATTTGATGTCAAGAATATATTGTTATAAAAACACCCTGACTATCGTTAATTTGATAATTATGACACTTCCAGAAGTTGATAAGTTAACAAAAGTTAGGGCACTATTATAGCAATATATATACGTATATTCTTGAAACTAAATAAAGTGTAAAAATATATTCTTGAATCTATATTCTTGAAATATTCTTGAAACTAAATAAAGTGTAAAAGTCTAATACTGTTTTTTCTTTCGACAAATAGTTAGCGAGATATCGTAAGTTAAAAGTTTAAAAAATTGTCAAATCTTTCTTAAATATCTCAAAGAATTTTAGGTAAATACAAAAATGTTTCAGACAAAAATTGTTCAAATTAATTGGTAGAAAAAGATAATATAATAATAAAAATAATAAAAAATTGGGATTCCCATTTAAAAAAATTGATGATCGGTAAATATTTTTAAAGTGCCGCCATCTGTGAACAAAACGATATCGCTGTCTTATACTTATACCCTCTTCGAACGACTTTTGTGTGAAACATTTTTTTCCTAAATGCTTTCCTAAAAAGATGTTTTAGAGACTTTAAAATGAGACACCCTGTATAGCAAAATGCGTGAAATACTTGACTCATATTCAATGTTACACTAACGCGTATCATAATTACCAGATACTTCAAATATAGCT